AATGAACCAATAAAGAAATGGGCAAGTGAACTAAACAGAACTTTCTCAAAAGAAGAAATTCAAATGGCCAAAAAACACATGAAAAAATGCTCACCATCTCTAGCAATAAAGGAAATGCAAATTAAAACCACGCTAAGATTCCACCTCACCCCTGTTAGAATAGCCATCATTAGCAACGCCACCAACAACAGGTGTTGGCGAGGATGCGGGAAAAAGGAACCCTCTTACACTGCTGGTGGGAATGTAAATTAGTAAAACCACTCTGGAAAAAAATTTGAAGGCTACTTAAAAAGCTAAACATTGATCTACCATTTGATCCAGCAATACCACTCTTGGGGATATACCCAAAAGAATGTGACACAGGTTACTCCAGAGGCACCTGCACACCCATGTTTATTGCAGCACTATTCACAATAGCCAAGTTATGGAAACAGCCAAGATGCCCCACTACTGACGAATGGATTAAGAAAATGTGGTATTTATACACAATGGAATTTTATGCAGCCATGAAGAAGAACGAAATGTTATCATTCGCTGGTAAATGGATGGAATTGGAGAACATCATTCTGAGTGAGGTTAGCCTGACCCAAAAGACCAAAAATCGTATGTTCTCCCTCATATGCGGACATTAGATCAGGGACAAACACAACAAGGGGACTGGACTTTGATCACATGATAAAGCAAGAGCACACAAGGAGGTATGAGGATAGGTAAGACACCTAAAAAACTAGATAGCATTTGTTGCCCTCAACGCAGAGAAAGTAAAGCAGATACCTTAAAAGCAACTGAGGCCAATAGGAGAAGGGGACCAGGAACCAGAGAAAAAGTTAGATCAAGAAGAATTAACCTAGAAGGTAACACACATGCACAAGAAATTAATGTGAGTCAACTCCCTATATACCTATCCTTAGCTCAACTAGCAAAAACCCTTGGTCCTTCCTATTATTGTTCATACTCTCTCTTCAATAAAATTAGAGACAAGGGCAAAATAGTTTCTGCTGGGTAGCAAGGGGGTGGGGGGGAGAGGGAGGGGTCTGGGGGGTAACGGAGGGGATAAGGAAAGGGGGGAGAAATGACCTAAACATTGCATGCAAATGTGAATTAAAAAAAAGTGAACAAAAATAAAGAAATTTGAGAAAAATACAGAACAAAAGCATATGCAAAGGAGATCTGCAATATGTAACTCAAGTTCCTAAAAAGAAAACCAAAGTAATGAATAGCTATTTAAATTAAAATTTAAATAATCTTACTGAAACAAGGAAATACTTACATATACACGTTGAAAGTGTGTATATACATATATATGGTAAAAATTAAAACTGACATATAATTATATATAATTGACATATCATGATAATAATTATTAATTGTATGCACATTATTTATAAGGAAAGAAAATAAATCTAGAGTCAAGACTCCTCAATAACAACATTTTACGCAGGTAATCAATGAGTAAACTTCATGGTACTCAAAGATTAAGAAAGGATTATAGCCAGCCAAATTCTCTTTCTTCAAGGACGAATACCATAAATAAACAGTAATAGTAAATATTAATAAATGAGAAATCTAGTAGACATTAAATTTCTGACACCCAAGAACCTAAAAGAGAAACTTCAGCAGAAGACTAGAAGGCAAGGACTGAATATGTTAATAGTACTGCTAGATTAAATTAAAGAGTAAATACTACGTAAGCATTACATGCTTGGCTAATGTACAGCTAATGTAGCAGAAACAAAACAGAAGAAAGGTAAAAGAAGGTGAGATGTAAATTAAGTTTGCAGATAGTCTGAGAGTAAAAGGTTGTGCACATGCAGCTGACAAACCGAGACAGTAGAATCTTGACTTCACATGAGATTAGAATTAACACTAAAATAATCCTGATAATCACAATTCCATGGTAGGACAGAGACAACAAGCAAGAGATTATCAAATAATTTTAGTATCTCTTATAATAAATCAACAGACAATATCTAAATAAGGAGGAAACAAGGCTGGGAATGTACTTCAGTGGTAGAGTGCTCACCTAACATGAACAAGACCCTGGGGCACAGAAGAGGAAACGGTATTAGTATAAAATAGTTCCTCAACTTCAGCACTACTGACATTTTAGTCCACACAAATTTTTGATATGAAGACAGGTTGTGCATCAAAGGAACGTTGCGAAGAATTCTTGGCATCTAATTATCAGATGCTAGTAGCACTTCCCTAGAACTATGGCAATTATAAATATCACCCCACACTGCCAAATGTCCCCTAAAAGACAAAATTACCCCTAACTGAGAACAACTGATTCAAAGTTATATAAATTCATATAGCTGCAATAAGTAGAATCAAGAACAAATTTTACTAAATAACAGAGACATCTCCTTAAGCAAGAAAAAAGAAAATAAACCTGGTGTATATATACTTTGTATACATGCATGAAAACAGAACAATGAAACCAACTGAAATCATTCTAAAATGGGGGAAGGGAGAATGTGGGAGAATAACTAGAATGTGGGAGAATAATTGAATCTATATAAGATAAACTGTATGCACATATATAAATGTCACAATGTATACCGCATGTACAACAATTATATACTAATAAAAATCTTTTTATTTTTGGCAGTACATGGATTTGAACTCAGGGCCTACATCTTGAGCCACTCCACCAGTCCTTTTTTTGTGATGGGTTTTTTTTGAGATAGGGTCTCACGAATTATTTGCCAGATCTGGCTTGGAATCATGATCCTCCTATTCTCTGCCTTCTGAGTAGCTAGGATTATAGGCATGAGCCACCGGCACCCAGCAAAAATGTTAAAAAGAGAACAAATCCCATAGCAAACATTTTGCATAAGTAGAATATAGTATAAGTCATTCGTAACAAAAGACATTATTGTAACAAGGAGAACACAAATATCATTTATATCAAAAAATAAAATGAGCTTAATTCACTCATTAAAATATGAAGATTTTCAGAGCAGCTTTAAAAAGCAAAATCTAACAGAATGCAAGAAACACCTCCAAAACAAAATGACCTTGAAAGGTAAAGAATAAACAATAAATACAAATGAAAACAAAGCAAGAACCTCTAAAACACATACAAAGCAGAATTCAAGAAGCATTAAATGAGAATGACATTTTCTATTGATGATAGTTACAAATCATACTGAAGATAGAATGTGTATTAATATCTATGTACCAAATAACAAAGCAGCAGCTCTTCCACAGCCAAAACTGAATTCGTTTGAAAGGAAAAACAGAAACCTACCACCAGTAAGAGGAAACAAACATTCTTGATAGCTCCAGGTAGCTAAAGTGGACAACATAATTAAGATACACAATATCTAAAAAATATAATCAAGAAGATAGAAGTGATACACCTAACTCTATATCCTGATGAGAGAATACATTCCCTGAAAAAATTATTTAAATAATACATTTAGCATTAAATGACCATAATGCGATAAAATGTGAAATTAATGATAACAAAAGAGACACTGAAATAAAGCTAAAGCTCAGGGGAAAATTCACTGCATTAAAATACCTATATAACTATAAAGTCAAACATCCAACTTCTTCAGAAGATACAGTAAAACCTATACTTTGGCTTAAATATTTTTTCCTAACCAAATATATTCAAGATTAAAATGACTTTGCTTTCCCTCAAGACTTGAGCTATTTATGAATATTTTAATGGTAAAGGGAAAAAATTCAATTTTAGCATGAAATGTTTAAATACAAATGCATAAATGTTTTTTCTTCCCAAAAAAAATAAGAAGCCTAAACCTAATCTAATCATATATCTCTACCAATTTCCAATAACAAAGAGAATAGATGAGCATGTCAAATTAAACCACAGGATGAAATTAATATACTCTGGACTGTGAGAATTTTCAGACAAACAACCCAGTCTCTTCTGTGAAAAGAAAAAAAGAAGATAAAGCAAGAACCTAAAGATTGGAAGAGACTTAAATACCAACCAACCACACTGTATGAATGAAAAATGTATCCAGATTCAACCAATAAAACTGTAAAATAATGATGAATATTTGATAACACAAAGAAACCATTACATTTTGAGGTACAATACTGGTATTACTTAGGGTAAATCTGTAGAGGGGTACAATAAAATTTTTATAGAAGAAATAATATAATGGCTGAGGTTTGATATAAAATAATGTGGGGAGGAAAGGGTGGGAGAATGAATAGGCATGTGGGTAAAGAATGGGTTAAGTGATAGAAACATATTTATTGTCTTATTCTGCTCACTTCTATGTACATTCGAAATTCTTGGGCTTGGGGTATAGATTACTGACAGAGTACTTGCCTAGCATGTATAAGACCCTGGATTTGATCTCCATTGCTTGGGAAAAAAAAAGCAGCAACAACAAAAGTTCTTCATTAAACACACACACACACACACACACACACACACACATAAAGATCAGAGTCTTCACAATGGATAAAGAAACAAATTCTATAAATATACACATCCTATTTTTTAAATGCTTATATATTTTGGCTTGATAGATAAAATATAAATTCACTTAAAAATACTGCTGAACCCAATGAGATCAGGGCCTAGGAAAGCAGAAATGGAATAAGGCCAGGATCAAAGCTATACTACAAAGGATACCATTTACAGCAGTGCTTATTCAAAATCTTTCATATACAGGAAATCTCAGGAATTAACTTCACAACACTGCCTTTATAATTTCTAAAGTTAAATACTACCTTATCCTCTAATCTAAATAAAATCTATTTTATTACTTCAAATATTAATACATTTTTTTAAAAGTTACCAACATATTTCAGTGTCATAGAAAGATCCCCTAAAACATTCATCAAAAAGAGAAAGGAATGAACTATGAGCTATACATGCTTTATTTAAATAAATACCTTTCCTTCCCAGAATGTAATCAAATGGGGAAGAGAAGGCGGGGAGAAAGTCAGTGAACAACCAGAGAAAGCAACCAGAAACTAAACTGCTAGTTTTCATAATAAAGATGCCTTACCCTATAACATCAATTGCCTTCAAGAGTTCGGGGTCAAATAGCATGGAAGAAGAAATAGGCTCCCAAAGATTATCACTCGCTATGATCTTCACTCGCTGAAGACCCTGATGGTTCAGCATCTTTCTTAGCACCTTTTGAGGAATAAACAGAACACAGGAAAGGCTACAAATGAGTTTATGGCTATTGAATTAGAGTTTATAGATATTGAATTATAACTGAAATAGCTGAAGTATCTTCAAAAACTGAATATTCTAGATAACAGTTTCAATATTATTTCTCAATAGAAAATGTACTCATGGGTTAAAAATGTTTAGGCGGATTTTCCTTCTGACTTTAGAATTATGTTTAACCATATAAATTAGGGGGAAGAAAGGGAGTTACGCTAGTAAAAAAATAATCAAAAATACTACCCAGAAATAATCACTATTATTTGGATATGCTTTCTTCCAGGAATTTTCCTATGCAGACGTAATAACAAAACTGGGATCATATTATCCATATAATTTATTAAAATGCTTTAATCTATCATTTTATTTTAAGTACTTGTAAATGTCTTTACACATTCTGTCATTATTCAAAATATTACTGTTAATATTGTCTACCATACTAGTAGTAGAAATAAGAAATATTCCATTCTCATGATCAATTCTTCATGATTATAAACAGGACAGAAAATAAAACTAAATTCTATTAGAAAATAAATCAACAAAGCACAAACTAAGCACTTTCACTGGTACTTAGTATCCCCATGAGTATTCTAAAAGTAGCATTAAGACAGACCCCTTGCCCTTATGTGGCAAACACACTCACCCAGACACCAAAACTAACAGGATTAAATAGAAAATCAGCAAGCAGATATATACCAAAAATGCCCAGATGTAAACAGGGGCAAAGAAAAGGACATCATTTTATCCAGGACCAGAAGGTTCAGATTTCATACCAAGAGTAGCTTTGATGAATAGATATAAATAATCCTCCTACTATAAATTTACCTAAGCATTTGAAATTGTCTGGCACATAAGAAGCAGGTGCTCAATAATATCAATCAAATTCAAAAGACAGGCAAAAGTAAAGGATTTCACAAGCTCTTTTTACATTCTAATTTTTCTGAACTTGGGAAATTTTCAACTAATGTGCTTTTAAGGGAACAAATAATAAAATCTCTAATTAAATCCATGATGTACTTTACATTGGTTTTTTAAAATTCATATATTACCACACATTGTGGTGTTGTAGCAGATGTGGTGAGAATTAGAGTAGTAGGCCAAATTCATCTTTTAAACAAGATCATTTGCGTCCAAGGGTACTCTGGAAGCAATACAAACAAATCCTTAATAATAAACACAGAAAGACTTTCAAGAGTTACTCTTGAGTAAGAGTTCTGAGTAAACTCAGAATCCCTACCCCTCTATTAGTAGGTAAACTTTGAGTTTCATCCCTCACAAATTCTTTTATTCTTACAGACAGGAGAGAGAGAACAACTGAGTCAAATTTCCATTTATCATTGTGGCTTTGTCTAGTCTTTGTAGTCCTGCTCCTAGACAATCACCAGTAATACTGCGTACTTTCATATCTTCAAATATTCTTTTGTTGTAGAACCCTTCCCTTTCCTCCATCCCCCAAACAATTTATAAGACAAATGAAAGGAAAGATGTTCTGGGAGATCCAGACACTCACACATCCATTTCTATCTACACCCTCAAATCTGAGATGGAATTTTTCCAGACATGATTTCAAAACCTTAAGAATATGGTGAAAACTATAACCATACAGCAAAAAAAACTTAAGAGAAATAATACCCCTGACATGTTTGAAAGTGCTTATATTTATTTCTATTCTTAAAACAAATCCTTATTCTTTTTAGGAGTCATCTTTTTTTTATTATTCATTTATTCATATGTGCATGCATTGTTTGGGAGGAGTCCTCTTAACATACTATATGGAATATTTATTTATTAAGACTCCCCAAACTATGCACTTACATCCATTTGTTATTACTGAACCCTTTGCAATGGGCATTTCAACAAACAGACCATAGATCACAATAAAATTCTGCTATAAAAAATGACAAACACAGGCTGTGTGGTGGCTCACACCTATAATCCCAGCTAATGAAGATGCAGAGATTGGGAGGATTTCAGTTCAAGGCCAGCCCAGGCAAAAAGTTAAGTGAAACCCCATCTCAACTGATGAACTGGGTCTGGTGGTGTGTGCTTGTCATCCTACCTACGCAGGAAGCATAAATAGGAGATCTGAAGTACAGGCTGGACTGAGCAAAAATAGGAGACCCTAGTCAAAAAATAACTAAAGCGAAAAGGGCTGGAGATGTGGCTCAAGTAATAGCATACCTGCCTAAAAAGGACAAGGCCCTGAGATCAAACCCTACTACTATTATTCCCCTCCCCCAAAATAGGCAAATAAATACAAGCTAAAAATTATAAGAAAAGGAAATGAAGTCTGAACTATTTAAAATACTAACAATGAGGCTTAGAGCAACAATTAATCTTTCAAAGCAGGCAAGCTGAGTTAGAATACAATAGGACAGCAACAGACTCTTAATAGTAAAAAAATAATAAGTACCTCAGTTTCAAATCATTAATGTAAAAGGAAAAGTAAAACAGATTCTAATACTCCCTGTTAGGTCCCTGGCATTCTTGGGGCAGGCAGAAGGACCCAAGGCTACACCTTAAAACCAGACCCCCTGATTTATGACCACTTGTTTCTCCCTGCCTGTTTGTTTCTCGGCTTGCAGAACAACTCAGGAACTCCCAGTTACTCAACTAGCCAGACATGTCGACCTGTTCCATCTGGTGATCGCAGATAATCAGAGACCAGAGACTCTCTCCCTCCCCCATGGCTTGGCCCCTCCTATAAAGCCCACTACCCAATTCAGCCAAGCCACCTCACTCTGAACCCAAGAGTGAGAGTCCTGCAGTCTGGACTAATAAATCTTTCCTTTCCACACATGGCGTGGTCTTAATTCAGCAGTACCTTACATCTGGTGCCGAAACCCGGGAGAGGTTAACAGGACGCTCGGCCTGGGGCTGGTCCTTTGGCCTTCATGTCCTGCCCTCTCCCAAACCCAGACTGCTGAATTGACCCCATGTGCCTCTGGACTGTGAATTTTGGACCTTACTGCCTTGCTGGCTTTTCCATCCATCATTAGCCTTTCTCTTCCACTGCTCTCTACCTGACCTACTTCTCTCCTCAGGATCAGTAAGTGTCACCCCCCTTCGGGGCTGCCTGCTCTGTCTAGTCTGGTAGTTGTGGCGCCACACCAGGCATGCCTCCTGTGCCCACTGGGGCACCCCTCCGATTAGCACAGGATGCCTGGCTAACCAGTTGGGCATTCTCTATGGATGGCAACCCAGGCCAGGGACGTCCACCCTTGGGAACCCATTTGGGTAACACTTACACTTCCCCCTCCATCTCACTCTCTCTCTCGCTCTCTCACTCTCCCTCTCTGTTTTCCTTTCTTCCACCCAAGGTGAGAGCTCGACAGCCCCTCCAACTTACTATGACCAAATGGCAACTGGACGATTCTGCTCTCCTTGCCTGAGTCACATAAGGGAGGCTAGATCTTGACCTAGATCTATATTGGCCTTAAGAGTAAACTCACCAAGGCACCTGCCTCACTCTCTCTCTCTGTCGCTCTCTCTCTCTCTCTCTCTCTCTCTCTCTCTCTCTCTCTCTCTCTCTTTCTACATAATGGGGAACTTAAACAGGCAAAGGGTGGCCCTCAAACCCCCCCAGGAAGATCTTGTGAAAATGGCATTTAAGGTATTTAATAACTGAGAAGAGGTTTGAAACCAGTAAAAGGCCCAGCTCTTGACAGCTGCCCTGAGGCCACCTCGTCCAACTTCAAGATGGGCCACACAACAACGCACACCTCCAGGGCCTGCTTCAAGTGCAAACAGATGGGACACTGGGCAAAACACTGCCCTTCACCTCGCCCGCCACCAGGACCCTGTCCACAATGTGGCCAGAGTGGACACTGGGGGACAACTGCCCCTCTTTGTCTCTGCAAGGGAGGTCAGTCTCCCACTCCCATTCTCAACAGAGTGAAGGTCTCTTGGACCTCTTGGGCCTGGTGGCAGAAGACTGACACAGCCCTGGGACCTTGGCCCCCTTCAAAATCACCTCGGAGGAGCCCAGGGTAACTGTCCAAGTAACAGGGAGGCCTCGATCACCTACTTGGTGCTACCTGACTTCTCAGGTAAGCTTTATCCTTCACAGATCTCCATGGTGGGGGTAGATGTTCTCCTCCACCAGCCAAAAAGGAAAGACAGTTTTATTTAAAATTAAAGTTCATGTGAAAGTTAATTTTGAAGTTCAAGTTGCAAAGTAAACTACTGAAAAGGATATAGATAGATAAACTTCAATGTGTAATAAAGTTAAAGTTAACTGTAATCTAAGAGCTGCCTAAAAAGATTTTTAAGGTCATGTCAAACTAAAATCTAAGTCTCTATGTCTATAAAATAACAATGTTATCTTAAACATTTTATCAAAAAAAATTATTTGTGTTTTCTGTTAACCCTGTAAAGCTTTAAGTACTACTAAATCAGAGTTCATTAACATATTTACTCATGTGTCTTAAATGACCATCTTCTAACTGTGTTCTGTGTCTATACTTTATCTAAATATGATACAAAAAGTGATAATTTATATAAAATATCCAACAGTGCTGCATTTAACCTGCATTCTGACAGTCAACCTCTATTTGCCTTTAAAGGTCCCACAAATGCTTCATAGCAACTAACCTGGTCAGTTTTGCCACAAGAATTTAAAGATAGCCCTCATCTTTGTGGACAGGCCCTAACTAGAGACTTCTTAGATTGGCACTACCCAGAGGCCACCCTTCTTCAATGCAGAGCCACAAAGCCCCTTATCTGCAGGGCAACTGAGTCCTTTTTAAAACTTTCTGGCTTCCGGGAATACAAAGTCTCTAAAGAGAAGGTTCAATTATGTCTCCCGCAGGTCACGTACCTAGGTGTGTTCTTAAAGGGACAGACTCACTCCCTGAGTCATAAGTAAATCAACCCAATCCTCTGTTTCCCACTCCCCCATACCATAAAAGCAGCTTAAAGCTTTCTCGGGAGTTACAGGATTTCATAGAATCTGGATCCCTAAAAATATGCAGCCTTCAACAGACACCTTTTTTTGCTCCTCCTAATATTCCTATTTGTGTTTTAAATAATGTATGGCTACCCATTTCTCTTTAAAAAAACTTGCCTCTACCAGACTCTGCTCCTCTGGTTGACTATCTTAACCTCCTCTGGGAACTTCTCAGACAGCAGGCAGACCAGATCCTGCCCCACCCCTCAGAGGGCCCCATAACAATTTCAATTAAACCAGGGATCTTGCTCTCCTCAAGGATCTTCGACCCTCTATGCTGGGACCTCGGTGGACCAGCCCTCATCTGGTCATCCTCACAATGCCCACTGCTGTCATGGTCAATGGGACCCTCCAGCTGAGGGGGATAAAACATTGCCCACCAACTTCAGACTCTTCCACTACAGAAAAGGATGAGTACTCTTGCATACCACTGGGCCCCAAGCGGCTACGCCTCTCCTGCAAACTCTCTCCCTCTTCCACTTCTACATAAGCTCTTAGTCCTCATCTGGCTCTCGATCTGCTTTCCCTTCGCAGCCCAGAAATCCTCCTCCTGTGACCCACGCATGCGCATTTCCCAGGCAGAATGTATTGTTACTAAGTCTTTACTGTTCCACACTTACTATTCCTGTGCAGGCTCTGTTATTGGGTCATGCACTCACAATCACACCACCTATCAAGTGTGCTCCCATGATACTCAATTTACCTGCTTCAACCCCACTTATTGCCCTGTGGAGCAGTAGTTAGAACTCAGAAGTGGCCACCTCGCTGGGAACACTGTTACTCGAACTCAGGTGTTCGATCCTGAAAAACCAGTGTCATTATTGTTTGATGCTTGTGCAGCCACGGACAAACTATGTGGAGATACAGGCTGTGGCTGTGGAGGCCTGGGTTGGGAAAGGACTTATACGTCAAATTAAAAATATATGTGCTGCGGAGACAACTTCTGGTGTAATAATGAGGGTTATCATTTTTGCCCTTATTGGAGTTGTGTTTCATGGGCCACGTGGCACAGAGCTACACACTTAGCCCTCCTTCAAAAGGGCACTACTACCCCTAATTTCATTCAAGGCACCTGTAACCCTGTAAATTTCACTGTACTAAAGCCATCTGATTGGACACAGGGACAGATAGTTTTCTGCCATAGGTGGATTTAAAACACTGGTGGGGGCTGTGGGCCTAAATGATGCTATGGAAATACAAACCCCTAAACCAGGAAAATGCTCTTTAACCCTAGATGCCTCCAGGATCATTCAGGGAACTCAGCAGACAGACTTCCCACCAGATGCTACTACAAGCTTCTCCCAACAACAGGCCTTGTCTGCAAATAAAGCCTGGGATAAACCATCAGCCTCCACTCCTGGGGACCTCACAAATTTCCAAATTCCAGCCGAACCCCCTTTAATGACGCCCCCACTCAGCACGAAGCAGCTAGATCAATCGGCATCCATAATACCAACAAAAGGCTGGAATGTTAGGTCCCTGGCATTCTTGGGGCAGACAGAAGGCGAGGCTAACACTGAAACCAGACCCCCTGATTTATGACCACTTGTTTCTCCCTGCCTGTTTGTTTCTCGGCTTGCAGAACAACTCAGGAACTTCCAGTTACTCAACTAGCCAGGCATGTCGACCTGTTCCATCTGGTGATGGCAGATAATCAGAGACCAGAGACTCTCTCCCTCCCCCATGGCTTGGCCCCTCCTATAAAGCCCACTACCCAATTCAGCCAAGCCACCTCACTCTGAACCTGACAAGAGTGATGGCCCTGCAGTCTGGACCAATAAACTTTTCCTTTTCACACGTGGCATGGTCTTAATTCGCAGTACCTTACACTTCCAATGCACCCCACAAGTGAAATAAACATAACTAGAGACACACACACACACACACACACACACACACAAAACCATAAGCATACACTCTACTGAGCCATACCCCTATGCCAATAATTTTAAAAATAGGAAAATTGAACCCAACTCTTCCTATCAGCAATTCAGGGACAAAAGAAATGCACATGCTTTAATATCAGGAACATAACCAAACAGATTTTACTCTTATTTTATGTCACAACTAGAAACTAGCAAAATAAAAAATATGGTGTTTGTACTATAAATTTCTTATTAACTTCTGTATATGGAACCATAAGGAATTATTCATAAATAACCTAATGATTAAAAGACACTGAAGTTGTACTGACCTTGATATAATTGATATCAAATGACCTTTCATTCCAAATCTGCAAAACACAAAGTGAAAAAATATGAGTTGAAAGTTTTCAAACATCAGAAAGTATACATTATCATTAAGATGCCACTTTTCATATCATCTGTCATTTTTTTCTGAAAACCCATTTTCCCACCTGATGGAACATGCTTTCACATAATATATGGATATTGACAAAAAGCAACAAAACTTTTTCAAACTGTTACTTTAAAAAAAAACTTTAAAATATTCCATGGGTGTTCTTCAAATACCAGAGATTTCCAACAATAGATTACACAGTCACTCAACAAATATTGACAGTGCTATGTGTATCAGGACTATCCTGGGCACTGGAGATCAGATGTGAGTATTACTGTAATAATTCTGACAAGATATCTACAGGCATACTTGAAAGCCAAGTAGTAATTAAGGATACTATATAGAAGGTATTTTTAAGCACACTGATAACAATGCTGTGCTGAACGTGAAAGCAAACTCTTAATTAGGAAGAATATAAGAAAATATACACAAATCTCTGAGGTTCAGAATCATGAAGCATGGGGTTTCAGATTTAAAAGAGAACATCTGTGACTGTAATTCTGTAGTTAAGAAAGCAATTTCTAATAGAGATAAGCCTAGAGTTCAGGTGCTATAACAAGTCTTACATCAAAGAAACTCCTCTCTATGGCATGTGATTATCAAAAGACTAAATGAAATGTGACTCATCCATTATTTATGAAAAACATTTTGTAAATATTTACCATAATAGATGCTATTAGATCCAATCCTACATTTAGTCTCACTCTGGGTTAAAACTCAATATTTAAGAAAGTTCACAAATACAAACTAATTTTTCAGTTACAATTTGGAAAAGAATAGCAAAAACAAGCATATTCATGTTGCTGGCTTCCTACAGCCCTTGTTCACCCTCATGTTCTGTACCATCCTGCAACAGTATCCATTTCCCTCACTGACCACCACAGTTTACTAATCCTCCTATCCCCAAGTGATTATGTCACAGTTCTGCAACACAATAGGAACTCAGTAAGTGCATGCTGATAATCTAAATCAACTCCATGAAAACTTAATTATTAGTGTGGGCAGATGGCAGATGGTGTGCTAATAAGCAAGGAGACCCACCATGTGTATGCATTAGGCTCTGTAGGATATGATGCAGTCTGAGGCATGCCTCTAGCCTGCCAACAGACCTACTCTGGAAAAACACAATACCATGTTTAATTAATCTTGTAAATTATTAAAAGATGTTAAATAACATTTTAGTATACAGAGATTTCTGGAAGCCTGCCAAATCTAGCCCACCACCTGTATTTTTCAAACTGAGAGCTAAAAACTGTTTTTAGTTTTAAATGGTTATATTTCAAACTGTTACACAATTACCTTTAAAGGGATCCTGAATACTGCTTTCTGACCTACAAGCCCCAAAATATTTATGTCCTGGTTGTTTAAGAAAAAAGTTTGCCAATCTCTTGTTTAAGAAAGTAATAAAAGACTCAAAGAATAAAATGAGAATATCATTAAACTATACAGGAAATGTAGCATTACATAAGAACTAGAGAAACTAGGGAAACCCTTGAAGGGTGGTATAAGAAAAACAATTTTTAAAAAGTTCAAAGAGGCTATACACTCAGTACAATGTTTGAAGATGGGAAGAATTTGGATTGGCAAAGAATAATAAAAGTGCAAAAGTAGTTAATTTGTGTTATTTTCAGACACAAATAGAACAAATTAGTCTCATGACACAGAATAGCAAAGTGCCACAGAATCAAATTACTTTTAAAAATTACAAATAAATATCCAAAAATGAATTTTATTTTAAATATATTACTAACTCCAATATAATCAATGTCCAAATCATGATAATGCTTGGCGCCCACAATCCAGCTCACGACGTAGTAGGCAGTCAGCTGAAGATTTATGTAAGGCCAGTTGAAACCTTTGCCCAGCCATCCAGGAAATGACCATGGCAACGCTGCACACAGAAGAAAAGGAGGAGTAGGTAAAACAGTGGAAGCACTACTGAAAACAAAATAAACCAAGGAAACACTCAGCAAGGCAAAGGTCAAAAAGAAAGATTGTATACCGCACAGATTCTTAAAATCCCTTTGTACACTGCTGATGATCACTTGCTGGGAGGGTGACTCAAGTGGTAGAGCACATGCCAAGCAAGCACATGGCCCTGAGTTCAAACCCCAGTAACTGCTAAAAAAAAAACAAAAAAGCACCTTTCTATGGACACTGTAATTTTCTATTGATCCTTAGAGTCAGGTCCCATAATTCCAAACGTTCTTTCAAGAGAATAAAGTAAAAACAAATAAATATCTGTCAAAGACATTTAGTAACAGAACAAAAAAGTACATTTAGGCTTGATGTCTCTACTCTGGACTCAATAGGGAAACACATCTTTGTTAAATGATATACATCAAATAAGTTCATATTCTTACAATAACTGATTATTAAGTTAAAATGAAAATAGGAGAAAATCAATAATTATAATTCTAAATCCTAACTTGGCTACTAATATATTAAAATAAGGTCAACATTCAAGTTCCTTAGCTATTAAATATATTACCAATCTAATTCACCATTGAAAAATACTTTTCTAAAAAAACTGCATTACATAAAAAGTGTGACATTAAAATGATGGAACATTTGAAAACAACGAAATGCTAAATATGACCTGAAGGCCCACCTAGTTTAAGTCTTTGCTGGATGTAGGATTACCCCATGCCAGATTTTCTACATTTAAATGAGATTTGATCTTGAAAACAGACCAATGAGGGAGTAAGTGCTCAATAATGCTTTTATTGTTCAAAACATTTCTGGCTCTCTCACAAAAGTCCATTTGAAAGAACATACTCACTTCTCATTTTTTTTTAATTTACAGAACACTACTCTTTTCCTTTAATTTTATTCTTAAGAAAATTATTTTTAATAATTATTTTTAATTTTTGAAATCAACTCTTGAAAATGGATCATTAATTTTACTTAACTTAGTATGAATGTAAGCCTATTTTAAAATGGCAAATTCAAATGATGTTCAAATTACTTCACAGGCTCTGTAAGCACTGCTACAGAACTGTGAAATGAACACAGTCTCACCTGAGCAATTATCCTATGATTCTGCTACTAGAACCTATGCCCAATATGGACTGGGAATAGGGAACTGATTGTTCAGTATCCCAGTCCCTGAAACAGTAGCCTGTGCATCACTGAGATTTGAAAAAAAAAAAAGGGAGATGTAGGTAGAAGCATCACAGTCACAGGTGGTCCAGGCAAAAAGCCTGAGACCCTCTCTGAAAAATAACTGAAGCAAAAAAAGGGGCTGGGGGGGTATGTCTCTAGTGGTAGCAAGCATAAGGCCCTCAGTTCAAACTCTAGTATTGCCAAAAAATAAAAATAAAATGAAAACACAAAAAATGTTCTTACACATACCTCTTCTAAAAATGGAGTCTACTACTGCATTACAATTTTGTAAATAGCATTGCCCTTTTACAAATTTTGATGACAGATTTTGTTGAAGTAGTTTATTATTTCTCTGTCTGTCTCTCTCTTTCTCTCTCTCACTCTCTCTCTCTCTCTCTCTCACAACACACACACACACACACACACACACACACACACACACACACATACACTTGAATTGAATTTTAAACCTGACTTTGCCATTTACTATCTTCTTTCTTAGGCCAGTGACATAACCTCTCTAGAGCCCTACTGCTTCTTCCATAAAACAAGAAGAGCAACACCTCACTCCCCAGGTATTATAAAGATCAAACATAACATACAAAGGCAGAGAACGACCATTTCTGGCACATGTTTTACTGTTTTGCAGTTGGTAGTCAAGTGGCGGTATGAACATCATTAGTATTTCAGTATTAATAGAGAGTCTAGCAAACTGATTCAGTCAGAAAGAGACTGCAGAAGCATTGAAAACTCCACTTCTTACCCATAAGTATAATATTAGGGTTCCTCTTCTTAGCTTCCTTCATTAACCACCACTCATATCCTCGGAAATAATTTTCATCTAATGTGTAGTGCATGTGGGAGGGCTCAGTGCCATCTGAATACGGGGAGAGCAAAAGAGAAAGAAAAAATTCATGAATGGTGCTTCCTAGGACAACTTTCACACACACATACACACACACACTTCACAAAAGCAGCATTCCAGTTCCAGTCCTGAAGCTGGGAAAATGAGAATTATATAACTTGAAGATAGATGATCAAAGCATAATATTTCATCCTTTTTCATTATCCTATGCACAGTAAAGTTCTTAAATAATAAAACCCTGACTTTGTATTAAAGGCAGTATTAAGAGAAATGCTGAGGCAGGATAGATGAGGAGACAGGGAAATTATATGATTTTTAATAAATATTAATATCACCAGATTTAGGCAATAGAAAGTAAAAACTAAAAAATCACAGCAGGTAGCTCCCCTCACCTCACCTCCTTTTAGATGTTAAGTTACAAAATAGGGAAAAGGTAGAGGGACTATCTGCATCTACCTTCCCCTTTGAGATCTTAAGAAGTTGCAAGTCTCCTTGAATGAGTAGAAAGAAAAATGAAAGGCATGTTTTGCAAAAGGAAATCCTAAAATTCACCTACTGTTCCTGTGTTAGGATAGGGCTAGATCACATCTCTAAGTTTTAGCACCCATTTTGGCCACCCAGAGCCACTGCCTAATGATTAGGGGTTGCTAGACTTCAACTTGATAACTTGTATTTCCCTAGCTCCAAGCATATGAAACCCACAAAGAGGCCATCATTTTTGAGCTTGTCTCCTACCCTGCACTTCTAGAAGGAGGTGCCATTTCCTTTCTCTTTTTAAATTTCTCTCTACTTTTATTCTTTTATACTAAAATAAATGGTTGCTAAAACTTCCACCTTGTGAGACTTTCCTTTTTGTATATGAGACACCTTCAAAATCTTTTCACATTTGTGGGTCAAGTACTTGTGATTTTGCACGGAAAATGGGAATCTGAGGGAAAGAGACCCTTCATCAGGTAACAGAAGTTTGGCAAGCCAGCCAGGAGTCGAATCTCAGAAGGCATGGAAAGTGTTAAGCTTTGGAACTTTGCTCTGCCTAAACCTGTCTCTTAGCCATAGTGGAGGCGTCTTTCACCTCTGCTACTCCACAGCCTATCCCTGTACCCTTTTCCAGTCTGGCTACCCAAGTGAAGACAAGAGCAGCAAAGATGGAGGAAGAGAAAGGGAGAGAAGCCCATCTCCAATTATTCTGTGCCACCAGTCAGTTTTCTTAGCCTCCCAAATGACTTATAAGGTCCTGGGATCAAAAACATAGGATCAATTTGGATTCTAAATGGCATGTAGCTGAGGACTGAAGCTGCTCCTCTGACCTAACCTCTTTGGATTCGTTCCACCTAATTAATACAAAGCCTCTAAGTTTACTCAAACGCTATTTATTAATAATTTTCTCCTTTAAGTCTTGCTTTGGAAATGGGTGTTTCCCCCATCATGGACAGGTCAAGACCAGGGGAGGAAATAGGTCATGTCCAGGTCACTGCAGGCATCAGCCCCAGGCCACCCAGTCATCTCTCAGAACCAAGGCACCACTCGGTCTCACACAAAATAGATCAGCTGTGTGCCTATTTCTGTCATTTTCTTCCTTGTATGTTTCTCTCCAGACACAGAAAACAAAGTTGGGAACTGTTACAAGTATTCTTGGCAATTCTTCATTAAAGTGTATTTTAAAGAGGGATTTAAGAAAAACATTTATTATTGTAATAAGATGTGGTCATAATATAAATTAGATTATGGAAAATCTTGGTCTGTAAATGGGAGCTTAGATTTTAATACTATTCTCCAGCTAGAAAGGCAGAGGAAATGGTCTCAAATCCTCTATACACAGTTTTTCCTAATGGCAGAAATGTCTCATTGTGAAGAAAAACAAGGATGCTTTTCTAAGGACCCTGGAAAATTCTTAGATGGATTTAAAACATAACCTGAAGAACTTGAACATTCTCAGTTTGTCACACTCCATAAGAGAAGCATAACTTTTGGACAGCAGCTTTGATTTACACCAATGATATCCATGCCAGGGACAACCCTAAACCAGTGGGAAATGTTGCCATTCCCAAAGATGAACCAAATTGGAGCTACTAAGTTGGGAATGTTAATGAATGCAGAAGTAAGACTTTACATGATTAATTGCTTAACTGAAGGAATAAAGCAATCAATACACAAGGTTGTTAATTATGATTGATTAAGAACTATAACAAAGGGAAAAGAGTAAAAATCCTAACCTGTTTCTAGGATGGTTCATAAAGGCCCTGAGAAAACACACCAATATCAGCCCAAACTCCATAGAAGTACAAACATTTCTAGGGATGCCTTTTATTAGTCAGTCAGCCCAGATATCTTTTGTAAGCTACAAAAAAACGAAAGATAGGACACCAGATCCCACTTAAAGAATTAGTAAATTTGGTCTTTGAGGTTTTCAACAACCAGAATTTAATGGAAGAACAAAGAAGGACTAAGAGAGTTCAGTTACAGGCAGAGAAACAGGCCTAGTTGTTTGCTAAAAAGCAAAGTAATAGCTATAATAATGGATGGAAATTTTACTTCTAGAGGAAAGTCTCCTTGAGGACTAACCCAGGAAATCTCTAAACACCAGGTTGATTCCAGTAACACCAAAAGAAAATGTTGTAAGTGTGGAAATCCAGGGCACTGAAAAGCTTAATGCCCTAAAAAAAGGCCATGATATCCAGGGACATGCCTCCTTGGCCATGAGGAAAAAACACTGGAGAAAGAACTGACCTTGCGGGAGAAGGGTGGGGGAGAAGGGGGTTAGAGGGGATCCACTTCTGAAATGGAGTTCTTGAGGACTAAAGATGCCCAAGAGTTCCCACTATTCAAGCCCCAACCAGTCAACTACCAATATTCTATGAGGAACCCAGTTATCTCTCCAAGTGGCTAAAAGATTAATTAGTTTCTTAGCAGAAAACAGGGCCCAATTTTCTGCCTTAATTTGACTTCTCTAAATGGAGCTTTCTAAGTGGAGCTGCATGATAACAGTGTTGATAGAACCCCAAAGATCAAAAAATTTACTCCTCTCCTAACTTACAGGTATGAACATTTTATTTTCTCTCAAAGATTTTTTATTTGTCTAGAATGCCCAACTCCACTTTGCGGCAGATATATTATGACTACTTTAGGAACAAATGTGCTCTTGTAAATTGTTCTATAGGAAGATAATTTGACATTATTTTCTTCCTGGGTATTCACTGAAATACAAGGCCAATAAGAAGAGTATTTTATTCTATTTCATTGGGAGAAAAACAATTTTATCTAAATTCAAGTTTATCGAAATTATTTCAAAATACATGCTAAAAAGATAAGGAAATAAATCAACAAATAGGAAAGATATAGGGAGGTACTGGGAATATGGTTTTTTTAGGGGGGAAGCTAAAGGAAAAAGAAACTGATAATTTATAAAATAAGGTTTTTGTTGTAAAAGATTGTTCCAAAATGGAAAAGGATAGGGATCAAACCCCAAAGGTTCAAAAGAGTTACAAAGTATGTGAGTAAATCATAAGTATATAAAAAAAATGGGCCTTAAAAGAAATTTGTTTGTGACAAATACAGCTATAATTTAAGAGTTACCTAAAAGTTTTTCTAAAGTCAAAAATTAATGAACTAATATAGAACTAGCACCTAATTATTTGTCTTAAAAATATTCTGTGAATAATAGTTGCTAAAAATTGGCTTAAAGGAGAGATTTATATTTTATCAAGATAATTGCTTATGTTTTCTGCTAATGTTAACCAAGCTTTAGACTATTTTGGAAACTGAGTTTTAACTAAATCAGAGTTCATTTAAGTATCTGTTTATTACAGTCTTTTTTTAAGTGATTTTAATATATTTAACCTCCACTAAAAAAGTGTGAGCTATGTCTAAACTACATTTAAATGCTATGCAAAAGTTCACAGAGTTAAAGTTCAACATATACAAAATAGCCAGCAAGTGCTCTCTTTTATACACTTGACCATTGTGTATTCCTTGTACAATTGGAAATAAGTCTATTTGGGGTCACTGGCACTGTCTTCTTAAACTTGTAAGAGGTCTAAAAGCTTTGGTTATTGTTAGTGCTATATACCTATCCTTGCAAAAGATTTTAAATTCAACTCCAAAGGCAAAAGCTAAAGTAATACATATAAGATATATATGTAGCTGGGATGTTAATTGTTGCCGTCATCTTTAAATGTTAAATGTACATATATTCCCCATGGATATAAGTTTTCAAAAATACAAAGCAGTGCCACTTAATTAAAAGGACCTGACATTGATCATCCATAAAGTACATCTACAATAAATAAGTTAAAAGTAACTCATTTAAAATTCATTTACTCTACAGGCAAAAGTAAATGAGAATTTATACATATGCAATCTATTATTGATAAGATATATATACTATGCCATTCTTTACACTAAAATAAGAGTTTAAATGTATATTTAAGAGACAATAAGGAGAGCTGAATAGTACTCATTAATGCTATCAATCATAATTATTATCCTAAAATGCTGTGTGCAGTTGAAATAACTAAACCATTTTGTCAATTTCTAAACATATTTTTAAAATTCTATTGATAACTGTACTAAGTGTTTCTGTCATTGGATCTTTCTCTAATGGGATCTGACCTAAAAACAATAAGCTGTATCTACTCATTGAGATAATTATTTTTTCTCCTTCCTAAAAACCAGAGACCTATAAACTCCTAGTTAATAACATACACTATTCAAAGCCAATCAAAATGGACATGAAGAATGAAGATTTAGTGGTTAAAAACAGTTTCGTTTTTAAAAGAAATTTTAAAAATTGTATCTCTAAAACTGTACCACACATATATTTTAAGTTAGTAATACCTTCTGTGTTCTATGCAAAATTATTCTTTTTTACCTTCTCCATAAAACCCCAAACTGTCCCTATGCTGTCTAGTGTATAGTTTTTTAGAAAACTGGATTTGAAATCTGAACTAAATAAGCAACTTAAAGACTGAGTAGTGTTTTAGAAAAATCATAATTTGAAACAATTTTTTGAAAAATAACAGGTAAAAAAGGAAAAATAAGAAATAATCTGCTAAGCAGCGATCAGCCTCAAAAGAGTTGGTATGACTTACATTCCGTAAGGTTAAGTACAGATTAAAATAGTGGAGGGAAAAGTCCTATTTCCCAAACACTCCTACCTGTTGTTTGCCCATCACCACCTATTTCGACTTTTAGAATATGCAAAGAGGCACCGAAGTTTGGCTGTGGAAAGAAGTAACAGTATTATTACTGTGCTTCATTGTATGAAACCTCAGGACGATTACTAGTAACTGCCTTTGGATTTACAGGTGAGAAACAAAAGTAAAACTTCAAACAGCAACTTATTCCAAAAGTAATTTACCATTTATTTTTTAAAACCTAGAATTATAAAGCTGATAAGTTCTATGGTTGAAATTCACCACACATTCTACCATCAAATAATTATTTTTCATTACCTTAAAGAGATAATCCAGTATTTCAGAACGATAGGGCTCTGGGTAATTTACTAGAAGTCGGGAAGTTGCCTGAAAAAAATAGTATTCAAAAATATAAATAAAATCAATCCAATCATGAATGCTTGCCTAAGTGTTGATACACATTACCTAGTATCCACCTACTTGGCCACTTCTTGGGCAAATGGAGCTCATTTCCCAGGTTGTTAGGCAGACTTTGCTTTTGCAATCATTGGACAAGTAGAGCTGTTGTTTTTCCCAACTGTTAAAAGGTTCTCTCTTGAGGTTACTGAACATCATGAGTTAAGATACTTGATCTTAAGATCATTTGTCAACAATTTCTTAGATCTAGGATGAGTGGGATGAACTTCAGATTTTACCCCTCAACATCTTGCAGGAAATTACCAAAGGCAGCAATGCTAAAAGGAAGCACTCCTTTCCTCTTTCTCTGTAAGTTCCATCTGTTATTATTAAGAGTAATTACACAAGCCTGGCACAAATGGCTCATGCCTGTAATCCGAGCTACTCAGGAGGTGCAGATCAGGAGGATCAACAGTTCGAAGCTGGCCCAGGAAAACAGTTCATGAGAACCTATCTTGGATATACCCAACACCAAAAGGGCTGACGGGGTAGCCTAAGTGGTAGAGTACTGCCTAGCAAGTGTGAGGCCCTGAGTTTAAAACAAAGTACCACAAAATAATTAAATAAGAAGAGTGACTACACAATGATCCCCAGGCCAGGTTGTACTAACTAACTCACACAAGATTACCATCACAAAGAATGGAAAGACATATGCAAAAAGTATAGCAATTGTGCATAGTCCTACCTAGACTATGAAAGATGGCATCTTGAAAAAAAAAAAACAGAAAACCAACAATTGAGCAAAAACCTATCCTTTTGAGAGGCAAGGGAAATAAAAGAGAAAGATTTTCAACATGAAACAGGAGCACGTCCCTATGCGTGGAGGATGGGCAACCCTATGTTCAAATTCAAACAACTGACTTGCCAGTTGTGTGACAAAAGCACCATACTTCACTTTTATGGGGTTGATACTGGATCAGTGATCCCCAGTTCATGTCTAGGCGAAGTCAATGATTGAAGACAACAGACCAAGAGTTAAAAGCAAAGCAAGCACAAATTTTATTGAAAGGATAGCAAAGCTCCTATACACACAGGAGGGGCTTAGGGAAAGCTAAGCCATGGAATGACTGAAGTCTAGGAAGAGATAAGGTTCTGCCTAACTTAATCCACCTTTTCTACCTTGAAACTACACTTATAATTGGATGTTATATTGTAGCTGACTTCCTTTTGAACCTAATCACCTGGTCATCCCCATCCTTATCAAACTGGACATATCAAGAAGGTCTGGTCAGCTCACCTAGCCTTGAGGCCCACCATTTACATTTTATAGCTATCTTTTGTTATCTTGGAAAGAGTTTTGCTGTTTTTCTTAGGAGCCTGTTCTTCGTATCTCCTTAGATGTTCCCTTTGAAGTTAGCTTTCTGTCTCCTTTATCTAAGATAAAGTCACTTCTCTTACTTGTTCCCCACACAGGGTTCAACCTTCCATTCTGTACTATCATACAGATGACACTCTGGTGGTACCCCTATCTAGTCTCTCATACTCAGAACTCCCAAGTCCCTGCCACTGAGCCACAGACCCATCTCATCTAGTTCAACACATCCAAACCAAACTAAAATTTATGCCTACATCTGTTCCTTCTCCTGCATTTGCTATCTTACTAAAGAACAATGCCTTGCTAAATCATAAACCTTGGGCCACACTTCTGTCAAACTTCAGTCACCAAGAGGTCCTTAATGTCTCTCAAATCCATTCTTCTCTTCAACCTCATTGACTTAACCTAGGCTCTCCTCACTAATTAGAATAGCATAAATGGTCTCTGCCTACCATCTACCCTGCATTGTATCCTCCACACTACTTATAAGATTAATGTTTGCAAAACACAAATTATCATGAGACTACTGAGTTTGAACCTGCTAAGTCTTCCCTTTCCCCAACAGCTTTCAAGACACACTCCAAATTGTTCAGTTTTAAAACCAAATCCCTTAATTATCTGAACCAAATTCTGACATTTTGCTCCTGATCATTCTCACATCCTCAATCCAGACATATCAAACTACTTTTTCTTCTCCTTCTGCCTGGCATGTGCCCTACATCCTCATGTGGAAAACTCTAATTAATTCTTTAGCTTTTAGCTCAAACTTCACCTCTTCATAGAAAGATGCCACTCCCCATCAATTTAAGTACCCCTCCTTTGGGACCCTTGGCACCAGATCCATATTTCTACCATAACACTTCTAACTCTATACCCTAATCAATGCTTTACTTTTTTGTCTCACTTCTAAGTACCTTGAGGAAACAGAATGTCTTGCTCAAGTTCATATCCTTACTCTTTGTTATTCAATAAACATCTACTTATTATCTTTTAGGTTATGGGTTTTTTTTGTACTGGTACAGAAACATAATTAAGGAGGCTTTGAGTCAAATGCAATATAAACAAAGTTATTTACTTTTTCAGTAGGCTTATACCAGATTTACTATCACAAGTAAAGGTCTCAGAAGGAGACTGGAACTGTGTTATATGAAATATTGACTATTTCAGAGTTAGACAAAAAAATGAGAATGATAACAAAGAACAAATGCAACAGATTATTAGCCCATATGTTCACCCTGAAATATGTAAAACATGCAGCAGAACCTGTTGATGAGGTTGCACAAAGGAAATAAAACTGTAAAAATCAAGATAAGGCTGTCAAATTAAAGATTTCCCCACCTCCAGCAGAAGATTATCTGTGATAAAGCTACAGGCTGGGTCACCTACACAGCAAGTAAGCATTTAAGCTTTTGCTGAGTTGAATTTAAAGATTCAAGTCTCCCGAGATGAGGATGCACACTTGCCCCAATCCTATTCAACATAGTCCTGAAATTCCTAACCAGAGCAATAAGGCAAGAAAAAGAAATAAAAGGTGTTGGAGTTAACAGTGAGGACAGCCATGTTAGGACCAGACCCCCTTACTCCCTTACAGGTGGCTTACTGGAAACTCCCCACCTGACCCCAAAGAATGACAAAGAGACAGTTGTTAACCTTTATCTCCAGATGGGTCCCAAGGACAGTTGAACAGACAGTAACCTAACCACAACTTACCTTTCTTGGTTGCCTAGCAATGGTATTTCTTCTTGCCCTTCCTGGTACTTTTCCACTAGCCTCCATAATATCTAGCCCAAGCATGTTTTCAGCAGTGGGCTCTAGCTCTCTTGCTAAAGACCCACCCCCAACAGGCCCTTTTCCAAATAAAGCCTGTGCTAATGTTGACCTATCTCCTGTCTTTCCTTCTGTGCCTCTTTTCAGTCTAACAAAAGGAATACAAATAGGTAAAGAAATAGTCAAAGTATTCCTGTTTGCAGATGACATGATCCTATACCTCAAAGACCAAAAAAAACTCCACCCAAAAACTCCTAGACATCATAAACAGTTTCAGCAATGTAGCAGGATACAAAATCAGCTTACAAAAATCAGTAGCTTTTCTATACACCAACAAGGAACAAACTGAGAAAAAGAATATACTAAAACAATTCCTTTTATAATAGCCTCAAAAAAAATCAAATATCTAGGAATAAACATAACAAAGGCCATAAATGACCTCTACAAGGAGAACTACAAACCACTGAAGAAAAAAATCAAAGATGTCTACAGAAGTTGGAAAGCTCTCTCATGCTCACACACTCACAGAGTCAACATAGTAAAAATGGCTGTATTAACAAAAGAAATACATATGTTCAGTGCAATTCCCATCAAAATCCCAATGACATTCATCACAGAGATTGAAAAATCTACCCTAAAGTTCATTTGGAAACACAAAAGACCATGAAGAGCCAAGACAATACTGAGCAAAAAGAGCAATGCTGGAGGTATCACAATATCCAACACTACAGAGCCATACCAATAAAAACAGCATGGTACTGGCACAAAAACAGATATGAAGACCAGTAGAACAGAATAGATATCCACCTTATTTTTGACAAAGGCACCAAAAACATACAATGGAGTAAAGACAGCCTCTTCAACAAATGTTTCTAGGAAAAGTTGCTATCTACCTGCAGAAACTGTCTTCCTGTACTAGTATCAACTCAAAGTGGATTAAGGACCTTAATATCAGACATGAAACCTTGCAGTTAGTACAGGAAAGAGCAAGGAATACACTGGAAGCAACAGGTATAGGCAAGGACTTCCTGAGTAGAACTCAAGCAGCCCAGCAACTAAGAGAAAAGATGAACAATGGAACTACATGAAATTAAAAAGCTTCTGCACAACAAAAGAAATATTCTCTAAATTAAAGAGAATACCCATAGAATGGGAGAAAATATTTGCTAGCTATATATACATCAGACAAGGGACTGACAACCAGAATATATAGGGAGCTCAGAAAACTAAACTCCCCAAAAATCAATGAACCAATAAAGAAGTGGGCAACTGAACTAAACAGAACTTTTTTGAAGGAATGGCCAAAATACACATGAAAAAATGCTCACCATCCCTGGCCATAAAGGATACGCAAATCAAAACCACACTAGATCTTGGTAGAATAGCTATCATCAAGAACACCAACAACAACAAATGTTGGCGAGGATGTCGGGGGGGGGAAGGAACCCTCATACACTGCTGGTGGGAATGTAAGCTAGTATAACCACTTTGGAAAACAATATGGAGGCTTCTTAAAAAACTAAACATAGATCTGCCATATGATCCCGCAATCCCACTCCTAGGGATATACACAAAGGAATGCGACCCAGATTATTACAAAGGCACCTGTTTATTGCATCATTATTCACAGTAGCCAAGCTATGGAAACAGCCAAGATGCCTCACTACTGACGAATGGATCAAGAAAATGTGGTATATATACACAATGGAATTTTACTCAGCCACAAAGAATGAAATTTTGTCATTTGCAGGAAAATGGATGGAACTGGAGAACATCATCTTAAGCAAAGTTAGGCTAGAAGGCCAAAAATCACATGTTCTCCCTCATATCATATGTGGATTATAGATCTAAAACAAATGCAGTAATATTATTGCACATGGGTCACACACTAAGGGAAGAATGTACACGAGAGGAATAGGAAAAGGGTAGAAAACTTAAAACCTGACTGTGGTTGCTCACTGTAGAGGAGCAAAAACGGTAATCTTAAACTGGCAGAGACCACTATGGGATGGGGACTAGGAAGTAGTGAAGAGGTCTGGTAGAGCTGAACCAATGTGGGTTGTAATACACATGTGCATGGAAGCAATGCTAGGAATCTCTCTGCATAGCTCTCTTTATCTCAAACTAGCAAAAACACTGTATTTTTCTTATTATTTCTTATGTTTTCTCTTCAACAAAAGCCTAGAACAAGAGGCTTTGCGGGGGTGGGGGGGGGGTGGGGGGGTGGCAACAATGTATACACATATGAGTAAATGTAAAAACGATAAATCTTTAGAAAAAAAAATAAAGACCCAAGTTCCCTCTGACTCAACACAATTAAAACCAAAGTTTAAGAGTTCATCCTTTGAGAATTCAAACAAAATTAGCTCTAGATGTGATCTGGAGTACAAAACAAATGAAAACCCTCCCAAATGCCTGGCAGCAAAAAATCTGATGGGCCCAAAACAAAGAGGTACAACAAAGACAATGGATGCAAAGGGCATTGCAAGGGGCCAAGTAAATACTGTTAGGAATGAAGAATAGTCATGTGACTGAAGAAATGCCAGCTCTGCCCACTCACAAGGCACAAAGCTGCAACTGTCTTTTTTTTTTTTCAAATATGCAATCACCATATAAAAACTGTCTCAATTGCCATAACCAAGAGAAGACTAAGAATACAAGCCAACTAAGACTACAGGTACTGTAGCATCCTAGTTGGACTCCCAGAACAGAAGAAAAAGTAAAAAAAGACATTAGGTAAAATCTAAGAAAATCTGAAAGTATGGACTTTAGTTAATGTATCAATACTGGTTGGGACAAACATAACTGGCTATGGAACGAGTATATGAGAACACTATTGGCTTCATAACTTTTCTGTAAATATACAACTACTTTTAAAAACGTTTTTAAAAAAAATACTCCAGAGATCTTTGAATCGCGTAAAATATCCTGGTGCATTTTAAAAATACCTGGTGTGTTTGTTAAAATGCAGGTTCTCAGAGACTGTAGAATTACAATGTCAGAATGGGAGCCAGAAGGCAGAATCTACATTTTTAACAAAAACCCCTCGTGAGTCTTAGGCACCCCAAATGAGCCACTGCTTTCTACCTGCACCCAGCAGTGAGGCACAGAGGATGCCTGCCCGGGTGGAATTCACTGTGTCAGGCCCTGGACATCCGTGGTCAACACCGAAGCCAACAGGAAACAATCATAGACGATCAGGGGACACGTGCAGACTCCCATTAAATAAAAAAAAAAAAAAAAAGTCCCAGAGAGTTTTAGAATTTTAGATCTTATTTCTTCCCAAAGAGAATTTGGGACAAACCTATTCGTCCTTCTGAAAAGGGTTGCCATCCCCTGCACTAGTGTCCTGGGGCTTCAGATTCCCCAGCCCACCAAAAACTCCCTAAAAATGAAGAGCCCCTCCACAGCGCTGCGCGCGTCGGTGGGGTGGTGGGGAGAGGCGCGCTCGTTCGCACAAAGGCGTTCTGGGGCTCTCCGGCCATTTCAGGGGTGACCTTCCCTGAGCGCCATCTCCATGGCGAGGGTCATCTACTGGGATAGGGACGAGGACTCGAGCGCCTGCCCCATCACTACTTTCACCTGTCACCCGCTAGGCTCCGGATCCTCTCTAGTTCAAAGCTAACTGTTTCTCTAGCTTCACCTAAAAGGAGCAATGGTCGTCTGGCCCCACAGCCGCAGCGCCGCGACCCCGCATCGTCGCGCGCGCCTGCGGCAAGCCGGCCTCGGCAGGCGGAGGGGTCCAAAAGCTGGGCAACGCCGCGGGGCCTGTGGGGCGGGGCAGCAGCCCCCCCGACGTTTTCCGCAACCCATCGCTCTGCCAGTTGCTCACCCCGCCGCCGCTGACCGCGCCAATGCCATCGAACTCCCGGCCCAGCCCGTCGGAGTCATCCAGCACGTACGCGCCGCCGCCGGACGCCAGCAGCGCGCACAGCAGAAGAACCGCGGCGCGAGCCGCCGAACCCGCGGCGGCTGTCATAACTTTCATTTGGCGTTGCCGGGAAGCCTCAAGTGGGCTCACAGCCATTGTGTGGGTCACATGACTCCAGCGCCTGGAGAGGCGGGTCCGGCCGCCGCCATGATGGAAAAGGGCAAGAAGCTGCTGAAGCCGCCGCCGCCATCTTGAGTGCGGGCTGAGACTGCTTATGCTGCCTCAGTAGTGTCGAGCGAAAGCATGGGAACTTTTTGCTGCTTCGTTAGGTGTCACTGATCCAGTACAGGCTTTCACGTGTATTCACTGCACTGCTACTCTTCTGGCCTCATTGATGGAACATGTTAACGGAGGGGAGGTAGATGGCAAGACTTGCCAAAGAAAGAGGGCAGTGAGTCGCCCTACCGTGGACCTACCCCAGAATCTTAGGGTGCACCTACGAAGTACCAATTGATAGCAGAGCAAGAAAGAGGAGGACCTGGCCCATTAGATGCCCTAACCAAACTGCAGTTCAGCTGTCACCGTGGTGGACTCACTTAGGTTTAAGAGCCTGAGTTTCTTCTGATGGAAGAAGCGAAAGTGTACTTGGTTAAATGAGCTGGAAGTAAGGTAACAGGCACCCAGTACGTCTCAGTTGAACACACTACACACTTGGCAGTCATTACCTGAAGAGGTTCTCTATTCTGCTTACTACCATGATATGTCCATGACTTTCAACCTTAAAGTAGTTAAGACTAGGACAGAAAAAAGCACCTAAAAACACTGCAGGTGCAGTATCACCCCGACCTTCATTCTTTTTCTTTAAAAAGCAGGAGATGAAACTTTCATATAAAAGAGGCCCTCTCTGTAACATCTTTATCTAGGACAGAAACTTGAAGTCAAGGAGAATCTTTGCAAATTGTTACTAACCTAGTCCTAACTTCTCCAAGCAATTATATGAGGAGGTCAAATCTCTGGGCCATCCCATATAAACAACCTCATTAGGTACTCTGATATTTCTAGGTACTTCATTCTTTCTCTCTTTTTAAATTACAGTAAGCTCACCTTATTCACAGATATATTACAAATGATTTTGAACAAATGTGGTCAAAACATAATAAATAAATTGAAAGAAATTTCAAAAACAAGAACATTTTAATTCCACACACAATTACACAGCTCAATTGATGCAGAGTTCTCAAGTCAGTCCCACGTTATTGTCAGCTGTGTTTAAATCATTATGTCATCTGTTAAGTGTTTCCCTCCCCCTAATTTTGTGAAAATATGCCTTCCAAAAACAAGGTAAAAGTCAGTCTGCTTAATTTAAGTAACCAAGTGAAAAATTTAAATTTGTTGAAAGGTGGCATGTCTTCAAAGGAATTTGAGCAGCATCTGCCATACATGCTGAACTCCATGCATCCTAAGCATTCATTTTTTTCCATAATGGTGGTCTCCTTAGAACCACATACCAACAGATCCCAAGGGTCTACTTGTGTTAGGTCGATTCTGATTTACCAAAGATAGTCCCAGCTTATATTCATGGCCCCAACATAATTATTAGTAGTTCCCTTTCACCATTCAAAGTTTCTGATTTGAATGCTAAGTTATGGGCCACTTATCTTGTTTTGTTTTTTCTTTTCCTAACATAGCACATATCCTCATACTATGCCTTCTCCCCCACCACCATTCTACGATACAAGTCAGTAACTCTCCAATTCTATAGAAACTGGTGTGATCCATTTGTTCTAACAAAATTTTAAGCATAAGCTGAAGCAACTGTGATTGCAAACCATAGATAATAAATCAAGTGAATGTTGTCTCCCAAAAACTCTGAAATTTTATACCTGTGAACTGCATATAGCACATAAGGACCACATGAAGTACCAAGGTGACAGCTGAGGAAAATCCATGTACATGAAATTAGGAAATTGACACCAGTACCCAGCATGTGTAATCCTATAGCACACCATTGCACCTTTTACTTGGAAGACAAGCTACAAATATTTGTGCCATCCATGAAATCTGACAAAGAGTAAACGGAATCTTTAACAGAAAAGGTAGCTTTACTTGAGGAAGAGCCACTGCTTCCTGTTAGTTCACACATCAAAGTAATCTGATACCTAATCTATACTCCGGAAACCAGTATGTAAGAAAGTTTTTAGTAAAAGAATACATACATGTGTAATATATATGAAAAAACAATACTCAATAAAGTTGTGAGATACAAAGGAAATTGCAGTTATCAGACAAGTGACCATGTGGTCAGTTTCCTTTGCATCTACGGATTCAGGATCAATGAGAGAAGACATTAAGAGGGAAGGGTCCCAGTTCTCACTTTCATATGAGTTTTAAAAGTAATTTTTCAATTAGAAGTGTTTCAGAGTAACATTATACTTCAGTCACTGCAAACCTCTCTTTTTCTATAGTGAATAATGTGATAAAAATCAGATGCCCTTTTGAGAAAGACAAACGATCTAGGCTTTTAAGGAAAATGTTATTGATAAAGTTTGAGGGCAGTCCGTTTATTGTCTCACTTGAGAAAATGGCTTTACTTTTAGAAATCAGAAATAGGCTGTCAAGGACAGAGGGCAAGTTCTTTTTTTTTTCTACTCATTACGCATAGTGTTCAACTCATAGAGTGCACTCAGTGTATAGTGCTTGATTGGATTCCAAAGAAAATCACTGAATGGTCTCATATGGAGATAAAATGAAAATTATTCACAGAAAGGAGCTGGAAATATTCCCCAGTACATAAAAGGATGTGAAGTAATTTCTCTTGATGAACTATCCTGTAACAACTACTGTTGATCTGGTCTTCCAGCTCTGGACATAGTTGATTGATTGCATTAAGGACATCACCCTTTTCAGTTACTGCTCTCTAAAATATGTGAAAGGGTTCTCTTAACTTAGGACTTAATGGCAATGAAAATGGTTCAGAGGACAGAATCCACCTTGTGAAATTAATTATATGTTGCTTATTTAACATTTTCTTAAGAGTACATAAAACTAAAAACCACTATAGCAAAGTGTAGTGCTAACACATTTGGCCCTGAATCTTTAGACTGCTTGATCTCAAATCTTGCTCCTACCACCTATTAGCTAGTAATCAAGATTCTTAACTTTTTTAGATTTCAGTTTACCCATCTTTGAAATAGAAACTACGAAGTTCAGTCAAGTTCTATTCGTACAGCACTTAGGAAGAGAGTAACCAACACATAACATACTTCATGCTATATAAATGACATACAAGTTTAACAAAACTAAAACTTTTTGCTTAACTTCTCTTCCCTTATCAGGAAAAAATAGGTTATTCCCGTCTTTATATTGGTCAGGCTTTTTTTTTTTTTAATTGAAGAGGACTGTGCGCAATTTCCGTTTGTTTTCTTGTTTTTATGTTGTTTTGGGGTTTGGTTTTGTGGTTTTTTTTGGTTTTGTTTGGGGAGTTTGTTTGCTTGTTTGCTTGCTTGCTTGCTTTTGGTTTTTTTTATTTTGGTCTATACTTTCAAGCTTATATTCAGTGTGGCTGATCCTCCATGGTAAGAGTCTTGGTGGGAGGCAGGTCTGACTCCTTCAGGATTGAAGGAGCAGGTTTCAATCTTGCTCTCAGTAATAAAGGCTCTGACAGTGACCAGGCTCCCTCAGCCAGTTCCTTGAATCTGCATCTTTGACCTTGGCAGGGCAACCAGTTGTACAAACATACATCAAGACAGAATCCAGAGGAGGCGGCAGCAGCACACAGGGTCCATCAAAGGTGGCTCAAGAGCCCAGCACAGTGAGGTCAGCAGCATCATCCCAGCCTGAATGCCCAGGCAAAATGACCTGACTGTCCTTTGGTCCTCTGGCTTTGGCCAGTGTTACAACCCTGGTTCTGAAGCCTCTGCATCAATCCTGTGTCATATCCTGATTGATCTCCAAGTTATTCATTTTCTGTGCAGGGTATCATGGATGGTTTCCATTGCCTGCAGCAAAGAACCCTGACAGGTACATCCACAAGGTTACAATGCAAAGAATTTTCAACCTGTATGTCTGAAATTTTCCTACTATAAAAACTGCCTTCACCACCTATAGTTCTTTTGTCAGTGATTATTTGCTGAAATAATGGAACTATGGGAAGGTTTTCTGTCCTTCTAAGCAGCACATGTGAGATGTGCAAATCCAAGCTCTGCTTTGGATTGTCAATATCCATTTTTAAAAGAATTTTAGAGTTCACCTAGCTTCCAGGTCCTAGGCCAAAAGACAAAGTCAGTTCAAGAGAACTTTGGGTGTAAGAAGTGCTGTGGATGGAACACAGGGCCTTGCACATGCTAAGCAAGAGCTTTACCACTGAGCTACATCTCCAGCCCTCAAGATATATTTTTAACATCTAGTACAATCCTGTCCAGCAGAAAAATAATGCAAAACACGTATATAATTTGAAATTTTCTAGTACCACATTAAAGTAGAAAGCAGATGAGATTAAGTTTGATGATATACTTTATTTAACCCCAAATATACAAAATTTCATTGTAATATATAATCAATACAAAAATTTATTTTGTGTTCCTTTTTAATACTAAATTTTCAAAGATTTCAGAGTGTATTTTTATACACACAACACATCTGAGTTCAGACTAGCAACATTGCAAATAACACCATGGTAACATACAGCCAGGGGCTCCTGCCTGTACTAGACTGAGCAGATATGGTGTACATATGGCCTTAGGCTAGGCATACTCACTGATGTCTACTCCTAAAGAATACCCACTCTATATCGATATTAGTTTGCTAGAGCTTCATCACAAATTGAGTAGCTTAAACAACAGAAATTCATTTTCTTACAGTTTTGAAGACTGTAAGTACCAAGAGCAAGATATCTGCAGGTTTGATTTCTCCAGAGGCCTCTCTCCCTGGCTTGTCGATGGCAACCTTCCCAGTATGTCCTCTCACGGTCATTCCCCTGTGCCCAGGCAACACTGGTATCTCTTTGTATGCCCAAGTTTCTTCTGTTTTAAATTAATTAACAAGAATTATATATATATAAAATGTATATACACATGTATGGCATGACAGTATATATACATTATAGAATGACTAAATTGGGCCAATTAGCTTACAAATTGTTTCAAACACTTCATCATTTTTTGTGATGAGAACACCTAAAATCTACTCTCAGCATTTTTCCAAAAATATAATAATACATTGTTAATACCTTTAGTAATCAGCCTGCTATACA